CTTCCCATTAGTTCAGTGTGGGGGTGGCCTGTCTGGGACCTCCCCTGAGAAGCTTCAGGGGCCGCCTGTAGGCCTCCCCACAAATGACCATGGGGAGGGAGGAGGTCTGAGGCTACCACCCCTGGAAGGGACGTTCTGGATGAAGGGAAGAAGGGCACAGCTGTCCCGCAGGTGGACTGCTGCTTCCTCTTCATGGAAAAGGCTTCTGGCCACAGACTGAGGCCAGAGGCTTCAGGGCTAAGCCTAAGGGGTCTCGGAAGTGCACAGCACATGCCTCTTCCCTGTGGCCCAGAGGCAAAGCACACACGTCCCAGATCACCTTTTGCAGAAAGGGGACTTAGGTCTTCTCTACAGACAAGGGAGACTCTCAGCCCTGCCTGAACCCTCCAAAGCACATCTCCAGCCCATCAGACAGCCTGGTCCCAGACACCAGGGCGGCCTCTGGGGAAGTCCTAGGCCACTCATGGGGCCTGATGTCCATGAGAGGGAAGAGGGAACCAGCCAGGTGGTTGTCCTGGGCAAAGCTCTCCCACTAAAAGCTTTGTGAGACAAGCCAAGGACGGCGGGAAGCTCTCAGTTCATAAGACCTTAGGGTTGGAAGGGGTCCTTGAGGCCATCGGTCCACACCTGCTCAGTAGAGAAGCCCAGATCAAAGCCCCCCAGCCTCCACTCTAACCCAGCTGGAATCTGCCTTTGTGACTTGGCCCTGTTATTTGCATCTTGCACTCTGGAACTTACTAAGATGTATTTTCTTGTCCCCTGATCGCCCTTGCTGCCCTTCTCTGACCCTGCTCCAGTTTCTATGAATTGCTTTTAAAGCACCCAGAACAGGACCCAGTACTTGAGGTGAGTCCTGACCGATGCAGAACAGGGTGGAACAATTATTTCCTGTGATTTGGATACTATACTTCTGTGATTGCAGCCTAAAACTGCATTTATCTTTTCTGCCATCACATCACACTTCTCACTCACATTCAATTTGCAATCAATTACTATTTCAACCTTGAGCCAGACACTGTACACCACACCTGTATTTGTTCCTGGATGAAAAAGACTGCATTTGTCTCTATAAATTTCCTCTTATAATTTTCAGTCCATTTCTCTAATCATGACTGTTTTGAAGCTTACTGCTGTTCTCCCACCCAATTATCTGCAGATTTGGTATGGGTTAGCTTTTCTCCTCAAGCCTTCTTTGCAGAACCACTGGATCACAGAATGTGGAGCTGAAAAAGACGACAAGCCTCATCTGGTCCAATTCTACGCAAGCGACCCATGAGAGGTGGCCGTCCAGCCTCTTCTTCAAAGGCTCCAGATGGGGAGCCCATAGGGAGACTCTGCCGTATCTTACAGTCAGGAAGTTTCTCCTTATGTTTAAGCCAACTCTAAGTGGCTGCAGCTTGTTCCAATTATGTCTAGTCCTAGTTTCCGTGGCCATGGAGAACAGCTCCTGGCCATCTTTCCTTTATGGACCTGAATGCAGCTATCGTGTCTCCTGGCAGGGCCACCGTGTCTCCTCAAGACCCTGATTCAGGGCCTAAATCTGTTCTGACACACCAATATCCTTCTGGAAATGGGATCCTTCTCCTAAACCTAATCCAGGCCCATCCTTAAGTTCTGAGTCTTTAATTACGTAAAAGTCTACGATGTCCTGGGTTTCCCAGGACCATTCACAAGGCACTCCAGGAAGCGTTGGCTGGGCGCTTCTCGTTCCCCAGAGGCCAGATGACTTCTCCCAGGCCGTGCCTCTTGGGCAGGCAGAAGCTGGTGAAGGCCTGAGGACCGGCCCCTGCATTCTGACCGTCCCCCAAGCCTGCGACTTCTGCACTAGAGAGGTGAGGAAGGGGAAGGGTCAGAGGGGGCACACCTCAGTTGCAGTAGCCACTGAGCGCACAACTCCTGGGACTTGTGCCCAAGGGCCACCCCAATCATGCTGCTGCCACAGACTGCAGCTCCTGTGGTCTCCTTGCCCTCTGTGTGAGTGTTGTGAGTCCTTGCAGGGAAGGAAAGGCAAAGGTTAACTCCCTTGACCCCTGAGTGCCCAGACACCAGGCCAAATCTCTGGATATAGTTCGCTGGTGGCATTAAACTGAGTCATGAGGCTTTTACAATCCAGCCACTTGTGAGAAATCTATTAAGAGGAGATGGACAGGTTGAATGGGGATGCTCAGCAAGAGGCAACGCAGGCATTAATTGGGACGATCCATAACGGGACAAGCTCCCAGAAAGGCTTCACCAGGCACCCTCATTCGCTCCCCACCATTTTTGCTGAGAATCAGCAAAGTTGCCAAAAAAAACACGAGTCTTCCATTAATCGGCTAATGAAATATGAAAATGTTTATGGGCCATTCAATCTTCCCAACAGCCATTCCAGAGCCTACCTCTGGATTCAGACACGGCTGCAGCGGCCAGAATTTATGCCCACCTGCCACTTTTATGAGGCCCCTGCTCTATTTGTCTTGTTAGGGACAATTTATGCTTCTATTTACCTTGCTCAGGAGAGGAAAGAAGC